AAGAAAAATACTGTGTAAAAATTGCAAGAAAACCGCGTTAGGTTAAGATGTGGCCCGATAAGCGTTTTAAGAAATTGTCAATCTCATCCCATGTGTCAGTATAAAGGTAATATTTTAAGAACTTTTTCAAGCTTATGAGCAAATGCTTTTAGCTAATTGGTTGTTTTCATTCAATATTCATTTCAATTGATTCATTCAATGCTGAGATGCACTATAGACAGGGGCAATTAAATGCCATTTACATAAACGAATTTTCACCATATTCATCATATTCTGATACAAGAAGTTCTATTAAAGGATTAGCTCACTTGGTTCAAATGACGAAAAGTGCATCATCTTGATCCAGTACTATAATTACGAAGTGAAATATAACTTTAACGAAAATTACAGATGTATACACGTACTTTAAATGCTTGATCACTGTCAAATTATCCCTGCATTTCCTTTCTTTTTACTCTTTTCTCGTCCATCCTTTGACAATATACGCTCTCACTCCTACTACCTACTTAAAGGCAGTGTTCGGGCAATTTTTCGACTCTGGGACGACTTTTTCTGGACCATTTTGATTTGTTTATCACAGTTATCAACGTCTATTAACACTAATGTCAGAAAAAAACCGAACCCTTTCTGCACTGACATGGACGAGTGGCACTGGCCGATTTCGTTTTAAATTTGTCTGAAATCGTGGACTAGCTTAATCAGAGAACCAAACATCATTATCTGATGAGTTGGAATCCTCAGTTTTGACACTGCTCTTCCCGCGTATAGCCGTTAGGATTTCCTTGTCAAAATCAAAAAAATATTTTGTTGTTTTCGTAAAACGAATCTCTAACACATCTTAATTCTATTGAAGCAAGGTCTATATTGATTCAAAGGACAATTTGCTTTTCGTATAAATCACATTGGAACTCTTGAATCTACAAGCATGAGATACGGAAACAAATAACTTTGTCAGACTTCCTACATCAAGCCAGCCTCATAGCAGTTCAAAGAGGCTACAAATGCGCTAACATGCATCTCATAACTCCGGTAAATGATCATAAAAATGAAGTTTATGAAAGGTGACGATCATTTAATGAAAGCGAGGGAATTTGCGCGAAGTTGAAAGAGGGTAAAGTCAAGTATTACGACACTGCATACCATTTTCTCCTTTCTCAACGGCGAAAACGTCAGAAACGTTCTGACATCCTGGGTAGTCATTGATATGCATACGAATTTTTGGAAAGTCGACAAGCTAAGCCTAATGCGCTACAATAGTTTCGACTTTGACTTGTAT